TATCCGACGGGTTGATGAAGCAGTCACCGAACGTTACGCGCCTTTGAAACGATGTGCACCGTGTTTTATGAGTGATGCACATAGTGCAAAATTTATTAGCATTAATAGGAGAGACGACATTAGAGAAGACAGAAAGCGATTTTCTCAGCAAATACTGACAATGATGGTTTTTATTGAACGAACAAGGTAAAAAGCATCTTTGATGTTTAATCATTAAACTATATTATGGATTGATAAAAGTCATAAAAGTGGGAAATTAATTTAATGCGTTCAGAAATTAAAAAATATTTCTAATCCATTTTTAGGTCTTAATAGGAAAGCGGAAGAAACGTCGAGCGCTAATTTGAAATACTTTTTTTAATTACACGCAGACTTAATGAGAGAAATTTAGAAAAATAGGCGAGAAAAAAAGGGCACGGTTAAACCGCTAATCGAATCGAAGATTTCTCTATATTTCTATAATACAGTTTAATGATTTTTATTGAATTTAAACCATTACGTTTATTTTATAAACATTCGTTTTTGGTTTAATTTCGGAAATGGCTTGTCCAAGTTATCATGTTCTCAAATATTTGTTCATTGAAATGTCAGTCTCTTTTTATTATTTGATCAGTTATTTGCCAGCTTCTGTTCCTCTGTTTTGCGTCAGTTTAATATCATTTCAATTAGCTTTGTTATTCGCACTGATAGATATAACGACGGTCAATTGCATTATTTCAGCATACGTAACCTGTTTATAGCGTGGAAAGCCTGAAGAAAGTTACATAACTGTTTAATTACATTTAATTGAGAAGGAGACAAGCTTCAGATATTTATTACGCGCTTGGAAGAAATACTATCGCTATTATCGCAGAACGCGTTCACGGCTGTTCTACTAATATGAATTATTAGTTCGTGCATTTGAAAAAAAAATTTTTTTTTTTTCATTAAAGCAGCTCTTATCAGAAAGAAAAAGTAAGTTTTACTTCACGTTTAAATGCAATAATCAAATGCAATAATCACTTGAGTGTCTCGCTCTCAGGCGCTGCATTTTTGCATTCGTTCAATTGGTCGATATTAACTTGAATCGACTGAAGACAAAGGAGACTTTCTCTCTTCAGGTACATCCTTTTTTTTCTTGTGTGCACAGACACTTATTCCCGGAGCACCATCGCACGTGCACGCAGTGGCGCGGCGATAGCACAATAGGGGGGAGGGGGGTGAGGTGTGATTTCGAAAAGAGAAAAGAGAAATGAAAGAGAACGAGATCAGAGATTCTATTGTTTTCGATGTGTTGTTCTTTCAAGTATCGGTAAAAAAGAGAGGAAAAAAAAAAAAAAAAAAGAAGAGGGTACCTGCAGATACATTAAGCTATGGCTGCGACACTGTAATTAACGATTTGTCCGTAGACACTCTTGTTCCCCCTTTTTTCCGCTCTTTACCGTCTCTCTCTACCTATATCTGTCTTATGTAACTATATCTGTATCTTGTAATTAGTTACACGAGAATTGTGCTGTGGCATTTGTTAGCGACGTTAACGTCAGAAATCACGAAACGAACCACGATGGGGGAGCAATACCGATATTAGTGGTTAGTACACTGTCCATCGTTGAGTGCAAATTCGTTCGGGTACGACGACGGGAACGCCCTTTTTTATAGTTCAATCTTATTCAAGCATGAGCAAGCATCGTGAAGTATGTACCTATACTTTTTCCCCCGCGATCGTTCTTTCGCACAATGAAGACATTCACACGGCATTTCGAGAGAAAGAGAGACACTTCGAAAGAGCGTTGAGATAAGTTGTTCGTTTGTTCAGTTCCTCTCGAAGGTTCTCTTCGCGTTGCGCTAGGACGACTGCGATGCACAGATATTCAAGATCATTCCTGACACAAATTTTATTTGCAATATATATATATATATATATATACATATATACATGGATGTGCAAACAATTTTTATAACAATAATCGAGACCTCTTTAATTCTGGAAGAGGGATGTACGGATAACGGATGTATACATTGCTCGAAACATGATGTGTCCGAAGAGTTCTCTTCTTCGTCGTTTTGTATGCGCGCAGCGTAACAATCTACATACATGCGCCTGCGTTCGACGTGCGGCACACGTATCGCGCGCGATTTATTCGATTTTCCTGTTTACGACAAAGTCCGGACGTTCAAAATGGACTAATTACACGCTCATGCTCAGCCACGTGCGAGGCCGGGCACGAGCGGGCCAACCGGATATATGGGGATGGAGATAAAGGTGACAAGAGGTGATGAGTAGAACGAAGACGACCTTCCGGGGATTTTACTCGCCAGTAAATCCTCACCTGTATCGTTCGCCGGTGTATAAGGCGACCCGTGCGGAACTAAATATACGAGTTCACTTTCAACGTTATTCTAAGCTGTAAGCTGCTTTGAGATAAACCGAATATAGTATTAAATTTTTTCTTATTTAGATATTTTATTTAAACTACAGAAATTAATAATACATATTAATCGTACAACACGTTAATGTAAGAAAGAATCGCTAGGATTGTCAGCGCTCGGCTTTATTCAGCTCTCTTTTGCTGCATTAACTTTCTACAAAATTCTGTTAAAATGATAATAAAGCGCTTGAAAAGATTTCAAGTGTTTCTCAAGACGTTTTATATTTGACGCGGAAAATCTTTTCAATCGTTTCCGAGGTAACGTCGGACGTCCATTTGAAGCTGGCTGAAGCGATTCTTTCGACCCGGCCAGGAATCAATAGAATCTGCTTGAGAAGCGCGGTAATGTGGCATAATTCCCTGAAGCAGCGAGAATACACGGAGAGGGTGGGAACCACAATTTCGGCGGTCTATTGTGTGAAATTTATTTCGTTTCTTTGTGAATCTCGCGGGAGATACGGTCTTCTCCTCTTGTTCCGGAAGGTCGCACCGCCACAATCGCGCATAGAGTCAAAGACGACCGAGGAAATTCCGCGGATTTCTCTCGCAATAGAATTTAAAGATATAATACGTGTATCAAGTGTATAAAGTGATATAATACGTGTATCAAGTGTATAAAGTGATATAAAGCGTTGCGTCGAGATGCGCGGATGGAAAGAAATGCAAACAATTCGCAATATCCCGCGTAACGATTTCGCAATATCCCGCGTAACAATTTCTCGCAATATCTCGCTGTAAGCAGCACGTGACGTGGTCGCCGATTATATTCGTACGCGATATCGACGTCGATATCCCTAATTTAGCCGCGGGAGTGACGTCCGATGGAGACGCGAAGGAAATAACGAGCGTAGCAGAAATAGAGGAAGCTCTTTCGGGGAAGGCTTTCCCGGAAGGCGCGTCACCATCGTCGCTCAAAGTTTGTCAATATATGGACCGCCAGCTGTTACTGTCGTGCCATTACCGGCGCCTGCAGTCGCAACATCGCATTTATTTCGTCCGTTCGGCGGCGAATACGAAACACAAGGACCGAGGACGTGTGTTGAGTGCGCCGGATACTTTTCTTCAAACTCCCGCGCTTATGGCACTCCGGGCTGCAGCTGGCTGCGCTTTTTCTTTTTTTTTTCTCCGTTGTACTCGAGGACAGTGTCGGCGCGCGAGAGCGGGCGAAAGAGCCGCCGCCGGCTGTGGTCGCAGGGTGGATAACGGGGATCACCGAGGGGTTGGTGGGGAGCCACGCCGCCGAGGGAGTTGAGGTAGGACCGAAGCCGGCGGCGGCCGCCGGTTCTCAAAAGGGAGAGAAGCACTTGCGAGACCGCGCTACTCTCCTTCAGGGCTTGACCCTTTTTCTAATTGCGTCTGGAGAGGGGTGGACGAGAGAAACGGTGCCGGGTAACACGCTTCCTGCAGCCGGCTGCCCAGCCGGTAATCAAGATTCAGCAGAAATTGCACACGTCGCAGAAGCGCCACGAGACACATGCGACCTCGCATTTCTCCTGCGAAATGCAAAGGCGCCATACGTGCCAAGGCTGCGCGTCGCAGCGCGCGATTATTTCGCGAACGAAGGGAACCGTCTGCGGAAAAATTCGGACGGAATTATTCCGAGGGAAGTATTCTGCAGTTTGCGCGAAATAATTAAAATCGCGAAATTAAATGCTGCGAAAGCGAATGCCGAAAGAACGTTTCAAGGAAACGAAGCGATAAACGCGTCCGATGTAACGCCGACGATAGCACTTCCATTAAGACGTTGCGTACGTCTATTACGTTCTAAGTAGTCGATCGAAGTTCCGGTTAAGCGGTAGGCATCTCTAGGGATGCGCCGGTAAGGGGGAGGGTGAGGACGGGAAATTGATGCACTCAGTGCGCGCGTGGAGTAAACGCCGGGACGGTCGTCTTTTTCTGCCGTATTCGGGAAGTATCTTCTAACATCGTCAGAGTAGCAGGATTGTCGACTGGGACGGGATAGCTGGCGAGGTAGCAGTTTCGTAGTAAACCTGCCGGTTTCTCTCTCCTCTCTCTCTCTCTCTCTCTCCGGGAGCGGCGAGTCGCGTTGTCGTAGCTTGATAAAGTTTGCAGAGCCTCCTCTCGGAGTTTGTTGGTTCAATATGTAATTATGATTGAGCGCAGAAAGGGAGAGGGAGAGAGAAGCGGGTTGACGCTAGGCGTTGATATTATTTATAGAGTAATCTGACGAGGTAGATTGCTCTTTCTGGACCACTTACTCAGATTTACGCAATTTTCGAGCAATGTGTACATCCGCGCACTTGGCGAACAAAACACGTTTCGTACGCTTTACGTTAGCTAAGCAAAAATACGATTGTACAAAAGATTTCAAACTAACATACTGTCCAAATGTGAAGTCTTTATAGCTGTTTTCTTTTTTTGTCGTCAATTCGTTAGATATACTAGTGCAACATAGACACACGATATATAGGCAGTATTTTTATTTGTCCATGTTTTTATTTTTTGTTTTTTTTCCTCTACGAAAATTGTACGTGTATTTAAGTTAACTTAGGATGACAGATCGATTGAAGACGTCAGATTATCGAGACTCGCGATTAACTGTTTCCCCATCGATATCTATCTTTTCGAAAGACCCTGAGAACACGGAGGCGGCCGATCTGCAGAGGAAGCTGGAAATGCTGAACAACATGATGGACCAGGAGGCGCGGGCCGAACAGGCACGAAGGCAGATATTATACAATATAGGCCACTGTAAGTACCGTCAAGTTTACAGTTTAGATGGCTGATATTTTATACGAATACTCTTTACGGCGAAAAAAAGAGAGAGAGAAAAAAAAACGTCCCTGATCGATTCCATCTCTCATCCGGCTCATTCGCTCGCGATACGCCGGAGAGGGATTGATTTTCCTTTTCTCCGAGGAAATTCGATTCACGGATAAATGAAACATATCCCGACGTAAAAGATCAAGAAAACGAGAAATGACAATTTTTCTATTGATCTTCGCGACCGAGTCAGTGAGTCAAAATAATAGTACGGTTACGCAGAGCTGCGCATTTCAATTCCAATTTTTATTCAAAGGTCTGTGCATGTGTCGCATTTTCTTACCGACTTACCGTGGCCGATCTATAACGCACTCTTACCACTTAACTCGCGATAACTTTCGCATCACCCCACGCGGATCGTTACTACTCGCTTCTTCTTTTTTTTTTTTCTTTCTTTTCATCTTCGTATTCGCGAGGAGAGATCGAATTGTCACGCTGTATCGCTGCAATATTTATATCGCGAGTGTTAATTTGCTGCAGCCTACGTCACACCAACACTTTCATCCACACGTCTGACATACTTGCAGTATTTTTAGAAACCGTGGCTTTCTAGGTCGTTCGCTCGAACGCTACTTCCGAGTAAGTCATAAAACTTTTACGACCCTGTTTTTTTTTTCTCATGCGAGAAATCAATTTGGTTTCCGTGCTTATTTTCCTATCTACGATCGGCGGCTGCACGCCGATAAGTTGTCTTACCCACGGCGAGTATGTAGCGAAGAGAAACAGGCATACGAGACGCCATTTCATATGTGTTATCGGCTATCGACGTGTCGTCGGTAACTTACCACCCCTTGTTACCCCTCTTTCTTAGCAAACCCCTTAGCCCGTGTAACAGCTATGAGAAGGCATGCAGCAGACTAGCTCTCTCTGTACTAAACAAGTCGTTGGTGTCTGGCCGATCTTTCCGTTCTATGTTTTCTTGCAAAAACGTTTCCACAATACCCACCGTACGGTAATTTTGCATTTCCTACCGGTCCCAAGTTCCGAAAAAAAGAAAAAAAAGAGAAACATACACACACACACCGAAAGAGACCGAAAAGGGAATCGGGACGGTGCCTATATAACGATCAATTTGTCGCATGGCTGTTGACTATACTTATCTTGCTTCCTGCTATATTGCACCACTTCAGTTCCCGGATTCTACCAATATCGACCAATTCAGTCTGCGGGAAGTTGCAAAACTGTCACGGCGAAGTTGGAATTGGCTTCGCGTTTTATCCAGACAACGGCAACGCGAACCGATTGTCGCGGATGCGCGCGCGAATCTTGCGAGGCGCATCGTCGATTTACATTCCGACAGACGAGGCTGAGAATAAACTCTTGTGCGAATTTTTGCATTTCTGACTGCTTGATGTATGACTTTCATTTTTTTTTCTTTCAGTTGTGTGCGTTTTGTTCCTAACGAAACTTCAACTGCAGGAAAATAAATGATTTTCATCAACATTGCAGAGAGAAAGCGAGCGAGCGAGAGAGAGAGAGAGAGAGAGAAAGTTTGAAAAGTGACATTTCCATATCTGAATGCGAAATCAAATATTATCAGGCGCCTTTTATATCAATTTCTCCGATCATTTCCCATAGCGCTATACATTGTAATCCATCTTTCAGCGGGATACTCGGAGGACTCTGACTACACGTCGGACTTGAATTATCCAGTAGGTGGACAGGGTGCGAACAGCTCGGCCTCGCAGTTTCGCACAGCGGCTAATCAATTGGCTACGCCTCAAAGATCCCTCGAGACGTCGAGAGAAAACAGTTACGAGAGAGACGATCATCAGGTATTGATTGATGGCGCAAAAAGTGCCTTCCACGGGACACAATCGAATCAAGTAGATGTATTTTATCGAACGATCCCTCATACAAGTTGTTCAAAGTTTTTCAATTATTCCGCCGCAATGACAGTCTGGACAACCAACTGGATCGCGTCATTCGAGCAATTGACCTTTTTTAATCCACTTACGTTCCGCGGGTCGACGTCGCTAATTGCGCGATAATAAATTAAGAGGATAACGTCGCTAGGTTCCAGTCACCGTCGGAGGAAGGCTGGCACCTGGTAATTACGGAAATTACGGGGGTTCGGGCCATAGTCCGAGATATGACGAGCCGTATCCGGAGGACGGTCTACCGCAGAGATACCTGCAGACGCAACAGCACCCTTCAGAGTCTTCCGAGCCACTCTTCTACAACAGTAGACCGAAGCACTACAAGGAATACAGGTACTACGAACGAGATGTTTTTAAAAAGAAATTTTACAATTAGTGGTGTATGTTGTAATAAATGATGAAAAGATTAGACCGAGTCTAAAACACACATTCGCGGTTTCTGTTAATTTATGACGCTGTTTTATGCGAACAGAAATTATATATAACGCCTGTTATTTATGCGCCAATTGCGCGCGTAGCGTTTCTTATCATTAAGCTCATGGAGATTGATACGACGGAAGAAAACCGTTTATTATTTTCTTGCCTGATTCAGACGAAGGAAGCACACGTGGGATTACGAGGACAGGTACGAGGCACGCGGCCGCGCGTGATTTCGTGAGAATTTCAGTGACTTTTACGGCACACACCCTCACGCATATCGCGATTATCAACTTCATCCATCATGTTTTGCTCTTATCGCGCATATCACGTTCTCAGCACCACTTCGCGCATTATCGCAATGCTCGGGGTTTAAGCTTGTGATTGCGTTGCACTCAATTAACAAGTATGCAATCGCGGCGATTACGTCGGGCAAGCCGTTCGTTACAATGTAGGCCACCATCGTCAAGCGCCTAATTCCACATTCATAATGTACATGAAGAACAAGAAAAAACTCAAATTCATGCTTTTAATTAATTGATAGCTGTACATGGCTTATTTTAGTTAAGCGGCTTTGCCTCTGCGAATTAAAAGTGCAGAATTTCCAAGAGAATAATGTTGAATATTATTAAAGTTCAAAATCATGAATAATGACGACGTTAATTGGCAAGTCCGCGCGACACATTAATCAATCCACAGGCATTTGCATGATGCAGCTAGTAGTCGCAGCTGATCACATTCAGGAAGATCGATATCATCCTGAGTCATCTCATCCCCGATTCAATCGCTTAAGCCTTGACGTGGGCAAAATTGTTTGATCGTTATCTCATACTTTACAGCCAAGACGGCTGGTACAGCGAAGGTTACGAGTATGGCACGAGGGTCGATGACACGAGAATATACAGCGATACTGAACAATATTACTCGAACAACACTAGTTCAAGAAGAAAACTCGGAAAAGGTACTAAACTTTCATTACATGCAGATTATTAAGTAAATTTTTAAGTAATTTTTGTACATTTTACCATGTTTTTTTTTATATAAACTTTCCTTTTCTTTATCCATCTTTGTTTTCTTTATTATTAAAAATTCTAAATGCTATAGATAAATTATGCGCTAAAATAATGCGTCTTTTCGGTTGCTTTCAATTTTTTATCGATTATTCGTTAAATATGAAGATGTTAATGGCAATGAAGACGAATGTGTGACATTTCTGCCTATTTTCCAAGCAATTCCGTACAGAAGACCGTCTCTGGAGAGACAGATGACCCTGTACGACGATCACTCGTATTACGCTGATGGATATGGCAGCGACGGCAGAGTGGGTAAAATGAGCGCTACGTATCCGGAATGCGAGACGGATATTAGATATAATGAGTATTACGACACTATAACGGGATACGTCTATCAAGATGAGAGGTGAGCGAACAAAGCACTAATAAAGATCACAAGAAAAAGAAAAATAAACGATAAAACATCGATCGAGGCAATTGAGTTCTCTTTTTCTTCGTAGGTACGGTCAAGACGACGAGGACAGACAGTGGGACAGTGGAGGGAAATGGTACTCGGGAACAAGCACGTACTACGAAAACAAACGGAATAGAAAGACGCTTCCGCAGAGGCCCGCCTCGAGCATCGGCATACACCGACCGGACTACAGACCCACCGTTACCAGACAGCGTAGCTACGAGTCGGACGAACTCGATTACAAGTATGTCACGCTCGAAGGGATCTTTGTATAAAACCCTTTTTTTATTCTTATTTTATATAATTATATATAATTAAATGTGAATCGAAATTGAAAACTAAATAGATGAGAAATATATCTACTCTTGAATACATATTTTAAGTAGACGTATATAAAAAAACAAATATAATTAAAACATTTGCCTGAAATTGTTTGCAAAGCGGATACAATTCTCGTCGCCGGAAGACCCTGCAGCCGCAGCAACGTCCGATGTCCCGGCAGGAGGGCGGCACCGGTAAGAAACTACCTCCGACCCCGACCAAGCCGAGCAACGTGGTGGTTAACCGTAAGCTCGCCTCTCTGCCCGCCACGCCGAGCAGACAACTGCCAAAGACCAGAACGCCCTCCGAAGAGAGCTACTACAAGTCTGACTACAACGAGGACTATAATTACGCTTATCGTAGTCAGGACAATCTGCCGCAAGACGCGTATACGGAGAATATTTACGGCCAGCAGCAACCGCAGCAGCAGCAGCAGCAGCAGCAACAGCAGCAGCAGCAGCAGCAGCAGCAGAGCGACCAGGTCGATCACACCGCCAACAAGACTCGGTATCCCGAGATAAATCAGGATAATCAATATAGCTACGCGACGCAGGTCGACGACCAGTACGGCCAATCGTATCCGGAGCAACACACGCAAAACAGCTACGATCAGACGACATACGCGGAGCAGAACTCGTACAAGGACGAGTATCAGCAGCCTTACGCACAGCAGAACACCCAGGTGTACCAAGGATCCTACACGGATCCGACGTATCCGATCGCCAGCCAGGCGAACGATCAGTATGCGAATCAAGGGAAGAATCAGTATGACAAGCCGGACGGTATGGTAATCGAGGACAATTTTCACGAGATGGGTTTCAATCAGAACAACGGGCAGTATCAGCAGGACTACAAGCAGCAGGATGTTTATCAGGAGCAGTACGACGATTATGGCGTCAGCACTGTGCCATCGAGCGTCTACGATCAGAACAATGTCGCGAATACTTACAATCAATATCAGCCGGAGCAGTACGACTCTCAGTACAATATCAATACGTCGACGGGCGAATATCAAACTTATCAAGAGACGTACAATCAAGTGCCTGTAACGTCGCAGGATAATTATCAGGAATCCTACGCGAAGCAGCCGCAGGAGGATTTCGCGAACTATCAGACGCCGTACAGTAAGCAGGAGGACGTGCCTACGACGTACAAGAATAATTATCAGGAATCTTATCAGGATTATCAGGAGTCGTATGATGAATATCAAGACTCTTACCAGGGATCCTTCGAGGATCAGCGTTATAAAGACACTCTGGCGGCGACGACGACGACGACGACAACGACGGACAGGAGGCAGAGCGAAGTGCCCGAGCTCTCCGTGACCACGCCTCGAGGTCAAACGAGGACGAACGGTTATCCGTCGAACGAGTCGGAGTATCTCTATCAACAGAACGAGGACGTGTCGTTGGGCGCGTCGAGGAGGAAGAAGCTCAGCAGCAAGCGCGATGTCAGCCCGCTCCTGCAGCAGAATACAGATTCACTCGAGTCCCGGGACGACGAGTTGAAAGATTCATTTGAGACCGCTGTGAGCTCCGTCGCCAGCAGCCAACCTAAGAAAGGGTACAGCGAATACTCGACGGCCGGCGACTCGAACCTAGCGTCCGCCACCTTGGTGGATTCGCCGCAGAACATCGTTCAGTCTCAGACTTCGACGATGGTCAATCACGTGACAGCGAATCACGTAACCACCACTGCGATGGTCCACACCACCACCACGAACATCGTGAACGGCAAACGACCATTGGCCAGGGCAGATTCTTATCAAGAAGACATTATTGAGGATGATGAGTATCCAGAAATCATTCCCAAGGAGCCGCAGAGAAAAGACTCGCAGATGTCGCATCAGAGTCAGCTTAGTCAGCACTCTCAGTCGCTCTCACAGAAGCCGAAGCTCACCAGAGGGGACTCTTACATCTCAGATAACTTCCCTGAAGAGTCTTACAGTCGTAGAAGCTCATATGCACAACTGCCTAGGAAAGACTCCTTCTCGTCAACTCAAGAAGGATTCAAGCCGCCGCTCACTAGAACTGATTCGTATCAACAACGGGAACTACGAGGGAGCAATTATGGACAGAGTTTCACGCCGCAGCCTATTTCCAGGGCGGAAAGCTATCAACGCGGTCATTTTAAGGACCAGGAGTCGATTGATCAAAGCGACATTGTTCTGAGCAACACGGTGAACGGAGATTACCAAATGCGCGACGAGACTCTTGAGAGGTACGAGATTGAATTATAGAGAATTGATAAATATAATAATTAACTACAATGTAACTACAATAAGGTAATACAACTACTGTAGTACAATATTTCTTAAAAAATCGACGCACCGCGATAAAATCAATTTAAATCGGTTTAATTTTATAAAATATTAATTTGTAATCATTTGAGACGTAGACTTTCCTAAACAAATGGTTCTCGTATTGTAATATTATTACCATTATTATTTTTTATCTCATCAAAGTAACATATGCAAAGTCTTACTGTGTAAAAGCTTACTTTGGAATGCGTCGAATTTGTTTGGTAAACAATGTAATTTAATAACTAATCCTTATTTCGGCATATTGGTTTTTATGTGTAATAAAATGTTTATTTCTTCCCCGAAGGTACGAACGGGGCGAAGACGCTTTGCTTCGTAACTCTCGAGAGGACTCACTCGATCAGTACAAAGAAACTCCGCCTATGTCACGCATGGAGAGTCCACGCGGTAAGATCGTCTTATTATTTACTAACATTTACTCAAGAAAAAAAAGTACAAGTTTGTTTACATTTTTCGTGCTAATCGATCGGCTTAATTTCAGGGAGTATAACGAAGCAGGCGTCGTTGGACGAAAGCGTTCAGATGGATACTCCGCCGAGAAGTCCTCCAGAGCCGCCACCCGACGAGGAACTCCTAGAGATGGTCGGCGTTGCACCGGTGCCCACACAGCTGAAGGAACGCCCGGAGATGACGGCGCGACAGCGGTGGCATTGGGCGTACAATCAGATCATCATGCAGCTAAACGTACGTAATATTCGGACTCTCTTCAAAGTTAGGGCGAAAGGACCCGCCCTTTCGACTTGTCATAAAAATTACGGGAAATTTACGGAAATGATACTATTAGTGGAATGGCGATGGACATTAAAGCCAGGAATAACGAACTCGCCTTTTATCCTTCGCGTTCGACCAAGGTTACGCTATTAGCGGAATGGCAATGGCAATTAAATCGAGATTACGACGATGATTGCGAGCGATTAGTCGAATGACGGTCAACGACCGCGACCTTTGTAAAAATACGGCGCCGGCAGCCCGCATTCGTCGCTCGTCCTTCACGAAAGCTACTGCGGCCTTGTCAATCGTTACCTTCGCATGACATCGATTCTTCGTACGGAGCTACGGGTTCGCCGCGTTCGTCCCTCATTTGTATGTTAATTGTTCAAGGCCGGATGATCGCTGGCAGTGCATTGATCCTCGTCGGGTATATTTAACGAGCGAAGTTGGGACTCGGTTCTATTTATTTGCATAAACTAGTTTCGCTCATACTTGGTGCACACTGATGGCGCCGATGGTGTCGTAATGATTGATAGTCGCGGGCAGTCGACGTTAATGATAACATCGACTGCCTGCAGAGACAGACAGGGCTTCGTTTTTTTATTGACTGGCAGAAAAATGCTTTTCCGCGAGCGGACAAAAAACCGGCACTCGACTCGCTATGCGCGTATCGGATGTACGTATCGATTGACAAACGGATCTGCAAATCTCTCGCAAATGGCACGTAGATAAGAGAACGCGTAACGTTACTTTCCGGGACAGATGCGACGAAATCGGTTGGATAATCGGGTATTCGCGTGACGCATCGATAGTATCGTTTCGCCGAAACTTGCACTTCAATCATCTCCTCGATTCCTCTCGCTTGAGAGTCGAAATAAAGTGATAGGTGCAAGAGTCACGACATACGCACATTACGATTCTCCATGCCGTTTGTTCTTTTCTTTTTTTTTTCGCGAGCGTTTTATTCCTCGCTGCAACTCGCGATAAAGACACATTTTTTTCTTCTTCAGTTTCGCACGTGTCGACATTCCGCGGCGTGCTAATCGACGGTCGTTAAGCGTTATTATCGTCGCCGTTATTGATTTAGGTGCGAGGCAAATGCCTCGACGACACAAAGTATCGTCCCGACGTATTATCGACGCTCGTTGTACCGCCCCGACGTCGCCGCTTTAAAAGTGTAGCGCTCGTCGCGTCGCGTCGTATCGTGCCGCGGTGCCAGATTAACGCCCGGCTTTACACGAAACTTCCATTAACGCAGTCTTGTCGAGCCCGTACGAGAGCGGCGGAGTACGCACCTGGCGCACTCCTGGGTGAGCCGCAGTAGTCGATATATGCTCGGAGAAACTTTGGCCCCGGCGGTGGAAAATGTAAATTTGCGCGGAGTCGTGTGTGGGCGGACGGAGCCAAGCGGTTGTGCCGGAGCGATTGTTTGTTTTCCGCTTCCACGGCTTGAAAACCGTGCCAGGAGGGTTGGCCTCTTCCCACTATAATTGCCACAACCAACAGCGGCGTTCAAATGACTGTTGATTTTCAAAAACGCAGCCGCATCAAACGTTAATCGCGAAATCAAAGATGCGATTGAAAAAAACAAAGAGAGGAAAAAAAGAAACAAAAGACAATTGGAAAAAAATTGCTCGTACAAACGCATTGTTCGGGCGCCGTTTAACGAGCGAATACCACGAGCGCGAGTAGTCTTTCACGAGGAGGAAATAATAGCGGAATTTCGGTCGGTACTCCGGCAGGGCTCAATTATCACCGTTGCGTGTCCTCGCGCATTTATTTTGCGTTGCAGGGGCATGCCGCCCCTCTTTTTTTCTCGTCGAAACGGGCCACTCTCCCGTCTGCTCTTGCCGTCGCACGCCCGCCGGAAGAACTATCCCTCCGCGAAAGTAATTGTCCTCCGAGAAACAAGTGGGATCGATTCGTCCGAGTATTAAATCGCACGAGGGACACCCGAGCGCACGGCTCTCACGTATTCGCGTAAACCGTACGGCAAGATAGCGGCGATAAAAACCGCCCGTGAAAAACTATCGCGCGGCGCTTACAAAGCCGTGGAAGCGCATTCCCCGCGGCGGATAGTTGCCGGCGGATATTTTTAATTTTTTTTCCTCCGCGTTTTTCTTTTATTTCTCCGCACATAGCGAGAAGAAAAATGATCGGATCGCATTAGAGCGGACATTTCGACGGCGGAGGAATTTCCCCGTTGCTCCGGGACTCTGAGCTCCTGCTAAAGCGATTTACAAGAGCTCAAGCGTCGGGCTACCTGCACGTACCTCTCGCTTCCCTTCTTGTTCTTACTGATAAAATGGCTTTTACGTGTAGACACGTTCTTATACTCGATCGCGTAGCCGCCGGGTAGCCACTGCCGCACCGCCGTATTTGCCACGCACGCCGGCGGATTTCTCCGCCGCATCGCCGACCGCGTTTTTTATTATTCACGCAGAGACGTACGTTTCTATGCTACAACCGGCGCTCGCTTTGCATTTTATTTCGGATTCCTCCGCGCCCTGCGTATTTTACATTCCGCGCGTTGAACGCGTCCTGATGAAGAGCGTCGTCTTGCCTACCTCCCGTTTCTCCACGCACAATTCCGCGCTCTCTCGCATGACGAATTATCTGCGAAATTATTATACTTCATTCCGTCTGATATATAATTTCCCGTTTATACCGGCACGAAACGCAATTTGTACATGCATACTTTATATTTCAATTTCCCATGTTGAATTTAATTCAGTTACGCTAACTACGCTTAACAGCATTTGTGCATTAAGTTAAATTTTACACATGCATCAAAAGTTGTCATCAGCAGGCATCGAACTTTCGTACGGGCAATTAAATTAAAACACGCTGTAACACGATACTCTCGCACCCATGAAAATGATTTCGGAATACGCTTTGCGTAGTTGAAGGCGACATTTTTAAACTCTCCCGCACGCGTGCACACGCGTTTTCCGTGATAGGAAACCTCGTCGAGCGTAATCTATGTAGGCCAAACCAGCGGCCCGCGTCATAATCGGAGACCCGTATGACCGTCAGTCCGACAGCGAAGAATCGGCATCACCTTCGGCGGCAAGGTCGCGCCTCCCGCCAATTGCTTATCGCGGCTGACGCTTGTCAACGCAACGCGTACGTTTCCCTCTCGCAGTATCGCAGCAGTCAATTCCCGGTGACTAACCGTGGCAGTCGAACCCACTCGCTCGGCAGCTCCGCACAAAAGGACCGTGGCCAAAAGGCGCCAAGTTCAGCATCCGCTTGTCGAGCATCCTCCAAGTTACGTTCTCTTACGCTGAAGTTAAGCACACACTCGACTTCAACGAATCGGCGAACGTAAGAGGCGGGGCGATTGTATCGATCGTTATTAGGCTTTTATTAGACGGAAGTGTCGGTTGCGGCCGCCTCGCAAAGGGTACATCCGCACGGGGGGTCGTGTTAACTTAAGTGAAAATACCACTGAGTGGTCCGGTCGAGGGAGGCTGACCGTGTACTCGGCGGCTCGGCTCGCGCGCACGGATCTTTTTAGCGAGTCTGATCGTGGAACTGGTCGAAAGAGGATCTTTTCTTCCTTCACGCGAAAGTATCACGGACCTACGTCAAAGTACGCGCGCCAGGCACCACAAATTTAAATATCGACGATATGGGGAAGTTGCGTGGTACGTGAAAAGCTTGTCTAAAAAAGAAAAGAGACACGGTTACGAGGAAAATAGATGAAGGACATCGGGTGCTTATGGATTGTATAGAGTGCAACGTAGACATATACGATAACTCGCGAAAAGAGAATACGAAATCACGTACGAGAAATTATTTATCCAACTAATTCGAGTGCAAGAATGAATTTAATGAACGGTGCGACTGAAATCCGATAGGCGCTGAACCGGAAATCCTTCGAATAGCAGACCGGATGCAATTCTATCACGATGATAACAAAGTATGTAACCGCGACACAATTGTTGCAGTATTTTAACGGGCTCTCTCTGTATAACGAAGTATCGTGTTCAGATCGTCACAGACAACGAGAATAGCTGTGATTCTTGTCACCCGGTAAAACGATAACGTTCGGACGAATTGAGTTTTCCATTTTCATTGTAACAAAAGAGCTATTTTATTGAATCCCCGATATCATCAAGAGAAGGAAGAAATATATATATATATATATATGTATATACAATGGAGACCCGGGAAAAGTCGACGGAATGGGCTTTATTGTTCCCGCTGAAGGCGGGCTTATTCGCCATGAAGTCGTCATTATCTTCGAAGAGCGTGAATCGCAGTGAAAAGGAGCGGGAGATCAAGGAACGGCTCTTGAAGAAAAATCTTCAACCGCGTGCGAGGATACGCCGGGGATCGTCTTTATCGGACCTGGACAAGCTTCAGAGCAAGGCGATTTTACCGGATGTCGTCAAATCGACGGAGAAATGCTCGGAATCGCTCCCTCACTCGCCCGCTTTATCGAATCTGCAGCTGGGCAGCAGCAGCGTGCGCGGCAGCATAGGCGATCTGATGAACATGAAGAAGTACGGCGGGTCCACCTGGAGCGTGCGAAGCGAGACTCTGATCGCGAAGGCCGTGCCGCTGAGCACGGTGACGGCGAAGCAGAGCCCGACGTTCTCCAAAAGCGTGGAGGACGATCTCGAGAGCGAACAGCAGGACGAGTTCCCGCTCTCCGGAAAGCCCCTGACCTGCGCGCAAAGAACTCAGAGGCTCAGCAGGCTCATCAAGAAGCAACGACGTATGATGGTTTTCAATCCTAATTCTTTACAAAGAGACACGGTGAGTCATCGAAACGAAATCGGAATATTGTTTTCCGCATATTTTTGTCAAGAAGATGTAAAAAGGAACGGAGTAAAAATCTGTCTGCAATATTTCGTTTAAACCGCTGCAGTTTTGATCGAGCTGCAAAGTTGTTCCAATAGGCAAAGTTCGGATAAATGAAGTCTCTGTAATCGTCGCGCTAATCACAGTGGCTCGTCGCAGTC